GAGAGAGAGAGAGAGAGAGAGAGAGAGAGAGAGAGAGAGAGAGAGAGAGAATGCATGTATATATATATAAACAAATATGTCAAATTTATACTGAAGAACTGACTGGTTCTCAAAAGAACAATGAATTTTTTAATGTTGATTTTAGATATTTGAAAGTTTTTGTTTGCTTCTAAGGTTTTTTTAATACTTCTAAGCAAGTTTCCAGAACTATATAATTTGGTTCAAACCATATTCATGTCAGAACATTGTTTTTGACCTGACTACTTGCTTTGAAGGGAAAGTAGCTGAGGAAGGGCTTAGCTGTGAGTAATTTTCCACTTATTTATCAATCTTCTTTGCTCAAAAGGGATGTTTACTATATACAGTTTTGCAATTTTGGAGCAAATAGCTTTAGAAAGAGGAGTTTTCAGGAAGAAATTAGTATCTGGATTAAGGATATTATGCAACTATTTTAATAAAGGAAAACAACTAAGAACATCTAACTGGGCCACTGATGGAAAGTCAACCATAAAGGATCCATCTCTGAGTTAAATGGCAGGTTTTTGAGGAAGTATATTTTGTATGGAGTTATTATTTTGTTAGACTCAAGAAATTTGAGGCAGAAGGCATAACATTTTGTCTTTCAAAGTTTGCACACAAACATTTCTGTGAAGTAAATTGGGGTGAGAGTGATTGGCCCATAATCACTCTGGAGGCTTCAATGGCCAAGGGTGGCTTTGAACCAGGTTGCTGAGTCTAATATTTTGAATCCTATATCATACTATTAACTGATTTTTGTCTTGACATTTCCCAATTTAAGTGATGAGGGTGGGCTTCTCTCAAGGTTTTTGATGTGTTTTTCATTATTTGCTGGCAGTGAGGGGCAGTGCAAATTTTAATTTCCCTATAGGCCCGAATATAATCAATTTCCCTCTTATTTGTTTTTCCAGTGTTTGATTGTTGGAGGTGGTCCCTGTGGCTTGCGAACTGCCATAGAACTTGCATTTCTTGGAGCCAAAGTTGTTGTCGTAGAAAAGCGAGATGCTTTTTCAAGAAACAATGTACTTCATCTCTGGCCATTTACGATTCATGATCTTCGAAGTCTGGGAGCCAAAAAATTTTATGGGAAGTTTTGTGCCGGATCTATTGATCACATTAGTAAGTCATAATTACATCATTGTTTCTTTCTGAAAAGGAAAATGGAGGTCCATTTTAACCATGGTGAATATTTTTGTTTAGAAATATTAGCTGCAACCTAATACCAAGATGCAGATGTGGGGGTGTTGAATAGTTGAGGGCTCTTCCTGATATGGTATAACATTTATTATAATGGATTCAAATGCTGAAGCCAAGAGCCACTGCCAGGTATTTTTGGAAGAAGATTAAATAAATGCTTTAATACCTAGAACATTTTAACTCTTTCAGAGTTGTACCTCCTATCAATACTTTCAAGTTTGTTTTACCTGAATGTGAAAGTATTCCTTCAAATTTTCATCAATATCAATTGATAGAAATTATCTTTACATTTAGTGTATATGTATAATTGTTGAGAGTGTGGTTGCACAGCAATTCCCCTGGCACCTGGATGAAACTGTCTATCTAGACCCATACCAGTCGGGCTTCAGGCCGGGGCACAGCACGGAAACGGCATTGGTCGCGTTGGTTAATGATCTCTGGAGGGCCCGGGACAGAGGATATTCCTCTGTCCTTGTTCTTTTGGACCTCTCAGCGGCTTTTGATACCGTAGACCACGGTATCATGCTGCGGCGTCTCGG